TTAGAAGGGCTTTTGGGTAATCTCCATTTACGGAATTTACATGGAATGTTGTAAAAATTTAAAATATGTTTGATTAAAAATATATAAAATTAAAAAATTAATGTATTTTGAGAAAAACAAAATTCTACAAAAAGTGTGAAGGCTTTTTCCATCTATAATTACCATCTGAATATTCAACATTTGACATCAAATGCCTACTAAAAATGACTATTTGAGACAGATTTTTGGACTGTGTGGATGTTGTATGCCAACTTCTAAGGCAACATGAAACTTCTCATCCAGAGTCCAAAAAATGTAGGGAGACCCTAAAAATGTAGCAGAAGCATTTCCGCACACTGATTTCAGTAGTCAAGTTTGTGCAGAAGTGATTCCACTAGATTCATAGGGTACCTTTTTGTGGCAACAGAAACTTGTCACTTCGTAAGCTTTCTGACATTCTCCAGCTCTTCTATAGGTTTCCATTTCTGATGGATTGTTAATAGCTGGAAGAAATTCAAAGGAAAATATGAGAGATTAGCAAAATCCCAGTGAGTATTTACTTCACTCCCACCCCTCCCCATATCATACATCAACTTACCAGTGAAGAAGGATTTCTAGTAGCTTTACATTTTCCTTTCATAAGTAAGCAAAAATAGCAACTGATAACGTATTTAATAATTTGTTGAACAAATATTAAATAAGTAATAATGCCAAATAATTTTATTTTTCTTTATCCTGGATGCTCTACTAAACTAAGATTTTTTTTTTTTTTCCCCCCTTCAGGCTGCAGTACTCAAAAACATTCTTAGTCAATTTTGTAATCCAGGAACAAGGTAAGGGTAAACAGCATTTCCTCTATACTCCAAGTTTCCACTGTTATAAATGGAATTGAGTAAAGGGATGTTGCGGGGGGGACGACACACCAACCAGAAGTATGCCATAAATTCAGAATCAGACCTAGAATGTAATAGCTGAATCCCTATCATTAAGTAATGTAATACTTAATGTAGGAAGATACTTTATGTAAAATAATGAATTAAGCAGTTAGTTCCACTTTTAAATAGATGTATGTCAGCTTTACATTTGTTTCCTCATAAATATTTTGCTAGTTCTTACACATTTAAGTAAAGTAATTCATTGTGTTGGAAATATATGCTATTTGTACTGACTATATTATTTGTACAAATTACCTTCTGAGGCTTGGTAGGATCGACAGTTTCCCATGGTTCTGGATTGCCACTCTTGTTAATGCTTTAAGAGAAGATAAAGCAAAACAGGTACTATGTTTTAGGGTGTGATCTCGCACACGTTTTTCTTATATGAGCAGTCTATCAACAGTAGAACTGTTCATGTAAGTAAGTAGTTCCCTGAAACACAAGTTCACAGGTTTGGGCATTTCTGTTTTAAATTCTGGGTAGGAATCAATGATGGCTTGCTTTATTTGCAGCTTCCAAAGCACCAAACAAGCCAACACTGTTCAAGTATAATGTGTTATCGTAAGGGAAGCAAGCTGAAAAATCAAAACTGAATACAGACACAGAGAAAGAGTAAGGGGATTCTTACCCTGACAGCTAAAACGCCTATTCCAATCACTTTAAAGTAAATATAAAAATTCCCAAAAGCTGAAAGAGTATAGGACTTAGCTCCAATTATTAGCCAAGCCATTAAAATACTAACTTATTGTAAGTTTATATTATCAAATGCTGTTTTTCATATACAAGTCAATAGCCTAGTTGCAACATATCTGCATGTCATCTACCTATCTGATTATTTGAAAATCTTCATAAGAACGTTTAAAACCTGTTACACCTAAAGCAAAGAAAAAATATAATCTATTAAATCAGAAGTTAGGAAATAATTGGACTATATTCCAAATTAATTAATTTCTTCAGTATTTACAATCTGCAGATATCTTAGTCATTACTAGTAGTCTGGTACATCCACATGGATTTTTTTTTTTTTTTTTTGGTGCAAAACATGATGGTCAAATACCTCTGTTGAACAAAGGTGGTTAGGGTAAACTCCAAGCAATAAGTATTTTGCTTACATCACATCGGATTTGCTGAACAGGGAATAGGCAGAAAAAGAGAACGCCCCAACTGCTGCAAAGGACACTACTCCAACCAGGGGAATGAGCTGAAAGACGTAAAATGAAGAAAAGAGTTTAAGAACTAGTGTCTGGGCTACAGAGCCATGAGAGTTACAAGGAATTAACGTGATTACCTGTTAAGGCGCATTACCTCTATGTTACTATTCACACCACCTCACTTTCAATGCATGGATTTCAACTTACACGCATCTCTTGCTATCACGATTTCATCTATAAGGTCCTCGTTATTAAATGGCAACCCCTGTGCACCTGCTTGCGCCAGCCAGCATCCCCTCGCCAAAGAGGGTTATGGCAGAACCAACATTTCTGGCAAACTTACTTCTTTTTTCGCTTTTAGTATCTGGAAGAAGCTCGTGTTCATCCTCGCTGCGGCTGCGGACCTGGAACGAACGGTTCCCTGTTACTGCACCCCAGGCCGGGTCCCCCCGCCCCAGGCTGTGACAGCTCGGCCCCTGGAGAGAGGGCAGCCCGCCCCCG